TTAAGTTTTTGAAAGGCCAGCGCGACGTCAAACTACGGCGCCATAGGTGTGCCGTGTAGCTTACCCGAAATTCGTTTGGAAGAGAAGAGGCCAGCCTTCCAAGGCTCTAAAATCCCCAAAATTTTCAAAAATTTCTGCCAAATTATTTCCGATAAACTCGATAATAAGAATGTCCTTTTCAGCATTTCTCGTTTTATATGATTCAAACTAAATACCAGCTTTCAGGCCCGCCATGGGACGAAAAGAGCTTGAGGAAATATGCGACCGATACTTGAGCCGCCGTGAAGAGCGCGAAAAGGCGGTCGATGCCGTGGAAAGATGTGTGAAAAAGGTTTAGATAGATTTACGGCTTTTCACAACTGATTTCTAGGGCTATGACTATGAGCGGTTGAAGGACAAGCTGCTCGGCCTCGTCACCGACTCGCACAAGGCGCACAAGATTATCGACAAGGTGACATCGCTGTACCCACAGCTTCGAAAGAGGACAAAGGTCGGTCTCGCGATCGATATTTATTTTAATCCTACGATTTTAGTTCGAAGAAAATCGTGAAGGGCCAAGCGGGGAAAAGCGTCGGCGTGATGACCGTGAAGATCGCGAGAACCGACGGGGATCCGATCGAGACCGGGATCGGGAACGCGATCGTGATAGGGTAATCTACATTTTTGTGTGCTAAAATTCCGTTCTAGAGCCGCGTCGAGCGAGAAAAGGAGGAACAGCAACGGAAACGCGACAAAATCGGCTATGGCGACCCGTTCGCTGGACGCAACATCAGCGACAGGGACAAGGAACGATTGATCAAGATGGCGCAGGCCGAATTGGATCAAAAAAAGAAACATCGCGAGGAGAACAAGAATTTCACAGTTACCGAGGATGATTTGCGGTATGTCCGGACTCTCATGTATATTTATTTTTTCATTTAGTGCCAAGGAGTTGATGCTTGTCGCCCAGCAAGAAATAGAGGAGCGGAAGAAGCAGTTTACTTCTCTCGTGACCGGAACTGTGCCTGACGACAATGAACCCGTTTCACGGAACCCTTCAACAGTGCAACTGGTATGTTGATAAGCCCTTGATCAAGTTTATGTTTCGTTTTTAGGGTATTCTACGACCTCAAGAAGCTGCTCTCTTCGTCAACTATTCGATGGACAAGAAGAGCCGCATTGAAGAGCTTAAGGTTTTTTAGAACTGCTGGAAATTTAACGATTTTTAGGCAAAATTAAACGCGAGCAGAACGCTTTCTTCTATCGCACCCGTTGTACCCAAGAAAGATACGGCTACAGCAGAAGAGAAGAAGCAGACGAGGAAACAATTGCAAGAGGTGGGTTGCTTGTCTGTTCCTAAAATAACAAATTTTAGGCACAATTCGAGGTCAAAGAATACATGGACCCGAGGATTATCGGCCGAGCGCCCGGGCGTAAAGCTCGAGTCTTCAATTTCCACGAAAAGGGTGAATTTGAGCGGTTGGCGAACAAGCAGCGGGCAATGGCCAAGCTGGATTTGCTGCAGGTATTGACGATCTATTGTTTGAAATTATTTTTAGGCTGAAATTTCTGAAAAAGCCAACACGACCGGTATTTCGTCGGCTGTAAAATTGGCCATGGTGACGCCAGCCACGCATGCGACGACGATTCCCGATATTGAGTGGTGGGATCAGATTGTGCTGGAGAAAGACAAGTACGTTTCAAATTCTTATAGCTTCATAATCGGCATTAATTGTATTAAATGGTTGATTCTTTAGTTACGACGAAATCCCCGAAGAAACTGTGCCTACCCGCTACTCCGAGACCGTCACAAACTTGGTCGAACATCCGACCCAACTGCGGCCGGCCACTGAACCTCACTCCGCCCAATTCCTGCGCACCTACTTGACGAAGAAGGAGACGAAAAAGATTCGCCGCCAGAATAGGTGCTTTCATTTTCATAGCATATCATTTTTTTCAGGAAAGAAATGCAAAAAGAGAAGACTGAGAAGATTCGTCTGGGCCTTGAGAAACCGCCAGAGCCGAAGGTAACCTTTCAATACCTTTTCTCTTAATTTAGCTTCAGGTAAAATTGAGCAATTTGATGAGGGTGCTCGGCAACGACGCCGTCCAAGATCCCACCAAGATGGAGGCCCACGTGCGGAAGCAGATGGCCGAAAGAATGAAAAAGTATGGTATCGACTTTAGGTGGTAAT